CTATTTCCAAAAGAAAGAGGAACACAGGGTGACGTACAAGAGTGGAGGCAGGTCCACACAGATAGATTATATTCTATGTAGAAGAGGTAATCTAAGGGAGATTAATGACTGTAAGGTGGTGGCAGGTGAGAGTGTAGCCAAACAACATTGCATGGTAGTGTGCAAAATGACGATGGAGGTAAAAAAAAAAAGGAAGAGAGTGAAGAGTGAAGACTTATGAAGAAATGTTGTGTAGACTTCAGGAAGGAAGTAGGGGCAGTTCTGGGCCGTGTTTCTAGATGATTAGGGAGACAGGTAAGAAGGTACTAGGTACGTCCACTGGGCAGAGAAAGGAGGACAAAGAGACCTGGTGGTGGAATGATGAGGTCCAGGAGAGTGTGCAGAGAAAGAGATTAGCGAAGAGGAGATGGGATAGTGATAGAACAGAAGAGAACAGACTGGAGTACAAAGAGAGGACAAGGGAGGTGAAGAGGGAAGTGGCCAAGGCCAAACAAAAGGCATATGAGGAGTTGTATGAGAATTTAGACACAAAAGAACAGAGAAAAGGAGTTGTATAGATTGGCGAGACAGAGAAATCAAGCTGGGAAGGATGTGCAGCAGGTGAGGTTGATTAAGGACAGGTGTGGAAGTCAGGAGTAGCAGAGAAGTATGTTAGATTGGTGCAGGACATGTATGAGAATAGTACAACAGTAGTGAGGTGTGCTGTTGGAAGGACAGATGACTTCAAGGTGGAGGTGGGACTATATCAAGGATCGGCCCTGAGCCCCTTTTTGTTTGCTTTGGTGATGGACAGATTAAAAGATGAGGTCAGACAGGAGTCCCCATGGACTATGTTGTTTGCAGATCACATGATCTGTAGTGAGAGTAGGCAGCAGCTAGAAGAGAGCCTTGAGAGGTGGAGGTTTGCACTAGAAAGAAGAGGAATGGAGGTCAGTCGTAGCAAGACAGAATACGTGTGTAAACGAAAGGGAGAACAGTGAGATGGTGAGGCTACAAGGAGCAGAGTTGGTAAAGGTGCAGGAGTTTAAGTACTTAGGATCAACTGTTAAGAGCAGCGGAGACTGTGGAAGAGAGGTGAAGAATAGAGTACAGGCAGGATGGAACAGCTGGAGAAAAGTGTTAGGAGTGATCTGTGATAGAAGAGTGTCAGCTAAGGTGAAGGGAAAGGTTTACAGGATGGTTGTGAGACCAGCCGTGATGTATGGTTTAGAGACACTAACAATAGGCAAAAGACAGGAGGCGGATCTGGAGGTAGCAGAGTTAAAGATGCTAAGATTCTCCTTAGGAGTGACAAGGATGATCAGGATCAGTAATGAGGTCATTAGAGGAACAACACAGACAGGGAGGTTTGGAGAACAAGTTAGAGAAGCCAGATTGAGATGGTTTGGACATGTGCAGAGGAGGGACAGTGGATATATTGGTAGGAGAATGCTAGAGATGGAGCTACCAGGTAGGAGAAAGAGAGGAAGGCCAAAGAGGAGATATATGGATGCAGTGAGGGACATGCAGGTAGTTGGAGTCAGAGTAGAAGATACAGAGAACAGGGAGAGATGGAAATCAATGATTTGCTGTGGCAACCCCTGAAAAAGGGACAAAGCCGAAAGAAAAAGAATATATCTGTCAACTAATAGTATTAGGCCACGTTGTCTGATTTTTAATAAATGGCTAAAGCAGCGAGTTTTTGTTGTCCTAAATCCTGGGGTTCCACACTGTTAAAAATATCTCCTTGGTTCAACTTAAAATCACAAGTTTACCAGCTGCCTCAAAATTTCAAGTTTATTGAAATCCTTATTTTAAGTTCTGTCAAGCTTTAAATTGCCTTCTGTGAGTCATCATGACTTTACAGTTATTGTTGTTTCAACTAAGCTGTGTACGTTCAGAATAAAGCGAACTTGATTATGAGCACTGTGTTCACTTATCCCCATTAGTGCTGTCAACTTAATAATTTTAACTAAAAGTGTTTTATTCATCAATATGCATTCTGTACATTTACCCTGATAACTGGGTTCAATCTTGTAATTTCAATTAAATAATGTCCTAACAAGTAAATTATCTGAAAGAAAGCCTTGTTTTCACATTTTTTTATTAGAACTATTATAAGCAATGTCAAAATACAGATACATACAACAGACAGGCAGAAGCACCAAAAAAACAGAGCGATGCATACAACACCAAAATCCATCCATCCATTTTCATCCACTTATCTGTTACCTGGTCACGGGGGCAGCAGTCTCCACCCAAATCACACTGCACCATACCAACCCCCCAAACCTTCCTGCGGGTGGTGAGTCCACTGAAAGGTATTAACCGCCCTAACCGGGATTCGAACTTGCCCAGGAGGTGAATCCTGGGGTTCCACACCAACGACAGAGACCTTGCCTCTGGGCCAAAGCGCCACTAACACCTAAATAAAACAAACAAACAAAAACACACACACTGTAGTCATTTTAATAACATTGTATTAAAGTATAAAGTGACTGGTTAGAACGTCATTGTGATGCCTTTTGTTTAGCAATTTAACAATGGAATGCACAGGTATGCTAAGGTCTCTAAGGGATGTCTAAACAATGGTTGCCGTGGCTCCGTGAAGCTCTGTCAAGCTGCATGCCCTTCATAGCAAAAAAGAATTGTGTGAATGTTTAGGTTAAATACCTAATATGCATACAAAACTATCGAATTTGGTACACATACTCTTGAAGGGGTTACATGTAGAAAATTGTACGCCTGTGTATATATTGTGCTCAGAAGAGGTGCATATTTGGGCCTGATCACAATTGTGACCGCTGGGAAAATACATTGTCAAGAATTCCTATAATGAGGCCTATTCGCACACTTAGACTAATAACGGCTATTTACACACTTGAAATGTTAAAATGAAAGTAGTTATGACAATACCCACTAAGTAGAGAATCATGAGATATGGTTAGGTCTATTATGCATATCCTTATTCTGTAAACAAATGTTGAAAAGTATTCAATATATCTCTATGGACAACATAGTCCGTTTTTACTGTCTAAAACAGACTATGTATGTTCCCAGCGGTCACAATTGTGACTAACCATAAAACTTAAAATTTGAGCAACTTAACCAACATACAACGAAAGAAAGACATGTTCATTAGAGAGGTCTAAAGAGTAAAATCTATGTACTTAACTTTTCAGAAAAAAAATCAGGATTAAATGGGTTAATCCAATCAATGTGTTTAAGGTTGTGTGTGTGACTGTGTGTGGTATGTGTGTGCACAAGTGTTGTACATGTGGGTGTGTATGTATGTGAGAAATCTTGCGTCACACATCCTGATGATGTTTGAGGCTTTTCGGAAAAATAGTGTGGCAGACCCAGCAGAGCCGCAGTCTTTATCCTTTTGTTTGTGTCCTACAGGAGAAAAATAAACAGTATTTAGATTTTATTGTAAACCTAAGACCTGGTGCCCAATTCTACAATTCTCAGCTCATCCACTGACCTCTTTCTTCAGACAAAAAGATCCAAATCCAAAATGGCCTTCAGTGCACCACCAAAAACAGCATCAGCCATGCTCTCTTTGGAAATAATGAACAAAAGACTCAAAATAGTGATATCCATTCGAACAAAATTGGATTAAGTGATTAATCTCAGACTCAGTGTTGTCTATTGTTATACCTGTCTCTCACAGAACATGGCCGGCCATTTTGCCATAACATCCCCGATGAGAGGTTGATCCCCACAATCTCCTTTCTGCGCTTGGAAAACGTGGCAGACATTAACTCATCTATCTGCTTGTGATCTGGGTCTTTTTTCAGTACTTCCACCTGAATTGAATTGCACAAAGGACACATAGTAAGACAAAATAGCAGGCTTCACAGACACAAGAGCAAAGTGTAGGTAGTCAGTATACTACAGGCAGGTGTGTATGCAGTAATATTACACAGGAATTATGTGCATATGTGTGTATGATGTACCTGAATCATCAACTGCTTTCTTCCATGTCTTCAACACTCAGTCCTTCTGAGGGATCTGGACAGTAGTGTAGCTCACAATAACAAAGTTGTAACACATAAAAACCAACTAGGTTCGTAAAACTAAAGATAAATGTCTGCAAATGTATAGTATTAATCTGGTTTTTAATATACTAATTCTCTAAAATGACCATTAGAGCATTAGTCCAGTTTAAATTGTTTTTAAAATATTAAAATGTTTAATATACTTAAAGTTTTAAATAGTTTAGTGCCGTGACCCGTCGGATCCCCGATTAGCGTCAACTGGTCACCCGGGGTACTGCTGCTGCACACGCTTCGCCTCCTCCCCTCTTCCACGGTGCCTGCGAGAAGCCGTGGAAGCTAAGTTGCTAATTGCTAACTGGCTTCTTCGTGCCCAGCTTTCGGCGCACGCGCATCAGGCATGTTGGTTTATCGGGTCTTTTGATTTATGTAATTATAATGTCGCTACGTGACGTATGGAGGACCGTTCGGGGACTGTTTACACAAGTGCATTTTCTGTCCGATTGTTAGACTGAATCGTAGTTCAGTCTAACAATTGGATTAATTAATTGTTTCAACTCAATATTTTGGGTGTAATTTGAATCAAAACAAGCTCGGACTTGTCCTTTTGAATGTGTCTTATATGTCACGACATGTCATTGCCATTTCAATATTGCATTCAAAATGTAGTGAACTCATTAACGTGTTCTGTTCATCAGTCCTTTTTAGTGGTTTCAGTATAGTTTTT